GAAAGAGAGAGGAGAAGGAAGATAAAATAATTATTTAAAAAAGATAGAGGGAGGGAGAAAGTACCCCTTAATTGGCTCTCTTCATGCCCACTCTTCTGTTCACTCTACTCTTCTATTTTTCCATCCTGTTGGGATTTTGGGTACACATGCATGCACACATGCCCAGTGTGTTTTTTAAAGCCATTATGGCCAGGATTCAAACTTCAGTGTGGACCATGTGGGGTCTAGATTCTTTAACCACTATGCCACAGAGCTGGTCCAGTAGTGTACATTTCTTTGTTAAAATTTCAGATGAATGTCTCTTAATAATATTGATTGTAAATAAGCCTATAAGGTGGTGTTAAGAGGGGCCGGCAAGTGGCATGGCAGTTAATGCCGGCAAGTGGCATGGCAGTTAATGGTGCTGGACTCTCACATGGCCTACCATGGTTTGAGTCTCAGACCTGGTGGTTTGTTCTCTCTCTCTGGCCAAAATTGAAAAATAGGGACCAGCAGTTAGCATAATGGCTATGTCGCTGGGCTCCCATGTGGTCGACCATGGTTCGAGTCCTGGACCTGATGGCTTGGACTCACGCCAGGCACGTGTGCTTGTGTGCCCAGGACCCCGAGAGGAGAATGGAAGAGAAGGGATTGCAGCGTGACAATCCCTCTGGGGGTTGATTTCTCGCTTTCTGTCTCTGTCTCTCTCTGTCTTTCTGGCGACCTAAAAAAAAAACCCCCAAAAAAAAAAAAAAAAAAAAAGAAAAATTGAAAAATAATGATAATAAATAATAATAATACTTTTTTTTTTTTTTTTGAGAGGTATTTAACCATGCCACCTGCAGGCAGCCAAAATTCTTAATTCTTTCATATGCCATGACTTTATAATCTGGAAAGGTCCTTCAAGTTCATAAACAGAGAGGGAAAAAACCTCTGAAATGATAAATTATAGAAAGTTCCAAACTGCATATAAGCTTGAATTTAGTTGAATGTTTGATAGTAGTCTAAAATAGTAGTTCCCAGAACCAGCAGGTGGCGTGGTGGTTAAAGCACTGGACTCTCATAAAGCTGACTGCAGTTCGTGGTGGCTTGAAACTCACATTGGGTACATGTGTGTGTGGGTGCGCCCAAAATCCTAAGAGGAGAATGGAGAAGTGATTGCCAGCATAGCCATTCATCCTGGGGGTGATTTCTCACTTTCTGTCTCTCTGGCTAGCACAAGTACTCAATAGCAAAAATGTCTTAAAAAAAAAAAGTAGTTCCCAAATCCTGGTTGAATTATATATGATGTTTTATTATTTATTTATTGGAGAGGATTTGCTATAGGGTGCGTACGCTTGCCAGAAAGACAGAGACAGAGAGACAGAAATTGAGAAATCACCCCCCAGGAGAGATGGGCACACCGCAGTACCTTCTCCTCCATCCTCCTCCCGGGATCTTGGACACGCACGCACATGTGCCCGGTGTGAGTATAAGCCATCGTGTCCGGGACTCAAACCGCATCAACCACATGGGAGTCCAGCGACATAGCCATTACACCAACTGCTGGTCCCTTTATTTTATTTTTATTTATTTATCCATTTCGTTTTTAATTTGATCAGAGAGAGAGAGAAAGAGAAAGCGGAAAGCAAGCCACCAGGTTGAGGAGTTGAACTGTGGTTGGCCATGTGGGAGTGTTCACCTTAACCACCATACCACATGCTGATCCCCTAGGACGTTTTATTTAAAAAAAATAAGGGGAACCAGCAGTTAGCGTAATGGCTATGTCGCTGGACTCCCACGTAGTCGACTGCGGTTCGTGTCCCGGACCCAGTGGCTTAAAACTCACGCCGGGCGTATGTGCGTGCGTGCCCAAGATCCCGAGAGGAGAATGGAGGAGAAGGGATTGCGGTGTGACCATCCCCCCTGGGGGGTGATTTCTCGCTTTCTGTCTCTATGTCTCTCTCTGTCTGTCTGGCGAGCGCACACGCCCTACAGTGAAAATCTCTCCAAAAAAAAAAAAATAATAATAGTAATAAATCAGATCTTCCACTGATGGTTTGTGAACGCCTTCAATACAGATTCCTGGAGTAATTTTTATGATAGCTAGGTTAGGAAACAACTAGTATAGGGCATTTATGAAAATGAGATCTTTTCAGCCAAATGAGAAGTATATTGGCATTTATAATACAAGGTGAATAAAGAGTTCACTGGGGAGTTTTATTACTCCCCAAGACTTTGCTGCACTTTCTGAGGAGGTTTTTTTTCAGAGTAATTGTGATTTGGAGTATAGTGGGTAGGGAAATAGTCCTTATTTACTTTGTTCTTTTTGCCTAGGCTCTTCCAGGTCAGCAGCACTGTTATTTCCTCAACAAGGATGCTCCTCTTCCAGATGGCCGAAGTCTGCAGGGAACTCTTGTTAGCAAAATCACCTTTCAGCATCCTGGCCGGGTTCCTCTCATCCTAAATCTGATCAGACATCAAGTGGCCTATAATACCCTAATTGGAAGCTGTGTGAAAAGAACTATTCTGAAAGAAGGTACCGCCTGTCTTTTTCTTTTTTTTTTTCTTGCTATAGAATGCGTGTGTGTGCTTGTTAGAGAGAGAGAGAGAGAATGAGAAATCATCCTCCAGGGGAGATGGCCACTCTGAAGTCCCTTCTCCAGTCTCCTCTCTGGAGTTCGGGCATGCACACACATGGACTGTGATTTTCAAGCCGCTAGGTCTAGGACTTAAACCAGGTAGCAGGCCATGTAGAATCCAGTGCCTCAACCTTTATACCTCCTGCTGTCCCCTGCCTCTCTCTCTTTTTTTTTTTTTTAGAGGTTTTTCACTATAGGGCGTGTGCACTCGCCAGACAGGCAGACAGAGACAGAGAGACAGAAAGTGAGAAATTATCCCCCAGAGGAGATGGCCACGCCGCAATCCCTTCTCCTCCATTCTCCTCTCGGGATCTTGGGCACGCACGCACGCACACGCGCCTAGCGTGGGTTTTAAGCCACCGGGTCCGGGAAGCGAACCGCGGTTGACTACGTGGGAGTCCAGCGACATAGCCATTACGCTAACTGCTGGTTCCCCCCTGCCTCTCTTTTTTTGATATTGAAGGATAGAAACTGATTACTGCAGTGGCTAATTTGGTGGCCCATGAAAATCACCTGTGAAGGTTTTTTTTTTGTTTTTTTTTTTTAACAACACTGATGCTTAGTTTCCTTCCACACCCAGATGAACTGAGTTAGTATGTCAAGTGGAAGGCTTGGGAATCTAGTTTAACTTCCACAGATTATTTTGATGGAACCAGTCTATAAATTGGTATTTGGAAATCACTGTTTCTTCCCAATAGACTTTTTCTGAATTTAGGAATGTAACTGGATCTTTTAGGGTATGTATCTTGGAGCAGGTATCGTGGAATGCTGTAGTGCAAGAGGATTAGTCTCGTCTTAAAATTGTTTTATTTGCCAGAGGTCTTGTGTGCTTGCTAGAGAGAGAGGGAGAATGCCTCCCCTCCCAATGGGGTATGATCAAGCTACAGTCCCTTTTCCTACATTACTTTATTTTTTAAGGATTTGAGGCACACATGTACATGCGCCCGGCTTGTTTTTAAGCCGCCGGGTTTGGGACTCTTAACTGCATGGTCAGCCTTGTGGGATTTAACATCAAGCCATGAATCAGCCCAAGAAAGGATTTCTTGGTTACCTAAATTTCAGGTTAATAGGACAGTGTTCTTCAGCTTTAGTCCTGAGTATATTTCTTCTTTCTACTATTTGGAGAACCTTATCACATAGCTTTAAAGAGGTCAGACCTGTACCATTTTCTTTTTCTCTCAGGATTTTGGAATGCTGATGTTCTTCAAACACAGTTGAGTATTAGCCATGATGTAAGTTTTGGCAACTCTGGCTAACTATTTTTTATTTTTTAAGAGAGTTTTGGTATAGGGTGTATGAGCTCATTGGAGAGACAGAGACAGAGTGAGAAATCGCCCCCCAGGGGATGGCAACATTGCCATCCCTTCTCCATTTTCCTTTTGGAAAATATGCCTGGTGTGAGTTTCAAGCCACTGGGTTTGGGACTTGAACCATGGTCGATTATGTGGGAGTACAGCTACATCACCACTACGCCATCTGCTAGTCCTGAGTTAATTTTTTTTTTTTTCAAAGAATTACCCACCTAATTTTATTTGTTACTATTAGTTTTTAAAAATTTGATCAGAGAGAGACAGGCAGAGAGAAAGTGAGAGAGCAAGCCGCCAAGTCCAGGACTCTAGTTGGGGTCACCATGTGGATGTGTAGCATCCCAACCACTGCATCACCTGCCCGTCCCCCACCAGAGTTCATTTTTAACCTTAGTCATAAAGTACTTCAGTGATAAATATGTATCAGTACAAAATGGTAGGCAAGAAGAAATAGGGAAATAGGGAAATAGGGAAGATAAACAAGATAACTTCTTTCTTTTCTTTATGAGAGAAAGAGAAATAGGCACCCTCAAAAGGATCTCACATTGTGATCTACCCCTTAGCCTTCATAGCCAGCCAGGATCAGGGACACACCTGGCATGTATAGGTAGATCTAGGAACTAAACCTCATTTCAGCACTATGGCTTTTTAAAATTACCAGTGTGCTATCTGCTCACCAGAGAGAGAAATGCCCCCCATGGAGCACGAGCACCTCACAGTCTGTTTTCTTCCATTTCTCCTTTCCATCAAGATTTTGGATGTGCGTGTGTTTAGCACGTCAGAATGTGAATCATGATTGTGTATAGGATCTTGTTCCACATGCACCATTGCTTAACTGTTGCACTACTGGGCTGGCTATCTATCTATCTATTTTAATTTTAAATACCTGAAGGCAGTTTATGAACAGAAAGCAATAATGTGAGTCTTGTTCATAGACAGCAACAATAAGGGATCCCCCCTTTCTTGTGCGTGCTGTTGAGGGGATAGGGGTGACTTCCTCAAGCTGCCCAATTTTTGTATCTGAGCAGGCAAGGGCTCTGAGGGCTAACTGGGCCCTAGGACCAGGGGACTTGGTCGGGTCCCTTCCTGTGGCCTGGGTTTGATGTGTAGGCCAGTGATGCCCAGCTGCTTATACCTCTGGGCCACGTTCTGATCAGCCAACATGGCAGCATATGGTGAGGGTTCATCTCCATCAGCCTTTACTTTCATTCCACCAGTCACAGGTCCAATGGTTTTCTTTCTAGAAATATCAGTGACATAGACAAAGGTATCATTGAAGGATGCAAAGATGTGGTAAACACCAAATACATTCTCTGCTTCAGCCATTTGAGGTCCAAGGCTGATGACCTGTTCTTCTTTCCTTCCCTTTGCAAGGTGCCATTTCTGTCTGTTATCTCTAGATTCAGCCAGTGGAAAAAGCTGGACCTTGTTGTGTTTTCTTTTTTAAAAGAATTATTTAATTGTATTTATTATTATTGTTAATTTGCTATATGGCATGTGTGCTCATCAGAGAGAGACGGGATGGTTGGGAAAACAAGCCACCAGGTCTGGGACTCGAACCACTGTTGGCCTTGTCAGAGAATAATACCCCAACCACCTTGACATTTGCTGGCCATTTTTTTGTTTTTAATTTGTTAAAGTGCACATGTGCTCAGCAGATTGAAAGAGAGAGAAAATGTGAGGTGGCCATCTCCCCTCTCAGGATTTTAGACACGCATGCACATATGCCTGGTGTGTTTTTCTTTTCTTTCTTTTTTTAAAGATAATTATTTTATTTTTTATAATTATTTATTTTATTTTATTCATTTGTTTATTTATTTTTTTTAGTTTGACCAGAGAGAGACAGAAGGTGAGAATGAGAGAAAGAGGAAGTGAGAAAGCAAGCCACCAGATTCAGGACTCGAACCCTGGTCGGCCATGTGGGAGTGTCTAGCACCTTAACCACCATGCCACCTGCTGGTCCCTATTTTATTTCTTGTTATTACTATTTTAACTTGGCGAGAAAGAGAGAGAGAGAGAGAGAGAGAGAGAGAGAAAGAGGGAGTAAGAAAGTGAGAAAGCAAGCCACCAAGTCTGGGACTCAAACTGAGGTCTGCCATGTGGGAGTCTAGTACCTTAACCACCATGCCTCCTGCCAGTGGCCGTGTTTTTAAAGCTGCCAGGTCTGGGACTCTAACCGTGACTCAAACCACACAGTTGGCCATGTAGGATCCAACTCCCCCAGTCATGCACCCATCAGTTGAACCCCTCTTTTTTTTTTCTTTGAGAGGTTTTTTGCTATAGGGCGTGTGCGCTCGCCAGAAAGACAGAGAGAGACAGAAAGCGAGAAATCACCCCAGGGAGATGGCCACGACGCAATCCCTTCTCCTTCATTCTCCTCCAGGATCTTGGGCACGTGCGCATATGCGCCTGGTGTGAGTTTAAGCCACTGGGTCCGGGACTGGAACCACAGTCGGCTACATGGGAGTTCAGTGACATAACCATTACGCTAACTGCTGGTCCCAAACCCCTCTTTAAAAAAAAAAAGAAGAGTGATTGGGGTCACCAGGTGGTGTGGTTAAAGGTGCTGGATTCCCACATGGTCAACTGCTGTTCGAGTCCTGGACCTGGTGGCTTGCTTGCTCACTTTCCCTTTCTCTCTCTCTCTTTCTCTCTCTGTCTCTGGTCAAATTAAAAAATAATGATAACAAATGGAAGTAAATAAATAAATAATTCTTTAAAGAAAAAGAGAGGGTTTCACTATGTTGCCCAAGCTGGTTTTAAACCTAAGATTCTCCTGTGTCATCTTCCTGAAAGGTATATGCCATTGTTCTTAGCTTAGGAGATACCTTTTTTTTTCTTTTTAAAAAAGAGTTTTTTTGGCATATGGCACGTGTGCTCACTGGAGAGAAAGAAAACAAGAAATCACCCCCAGGGGGATGGCCACCCACAATTGCTTCTCCACTCTCCTCTCAGGATTTTGGGAATGCACACACATATACCCAGTGTGTTTTAAACTAGCAGGTCGGAGACTCAAACCATATTCGACTATGTGGGAGTCCAGTGACATAACCATTATGCCATCTGGTGGTCCCAGGAGATACCTGTTTTTAAATTGCCAGAGGAGGGTTTGTGCATTTGCCATAGACAAACAGGGTGAAAGTGTCCTCCAGTAGGGTATGATCACACCACAATCTGTTCTCCTGCATTTATCAATCCCCTTGAAATATTAGGCATGCATACCTGTGTAGTCACTGTGTTTTTCAATCTGCCTGGGCCATATTCAAACTGTGGTTGGCCACGTGGGATCTAGCTCCCTTAACCACTGGACAAGGCGGGTAGTTCTTTTTTTTTTTTTTTTTTTTTTTTTTTTTTAAGGCGGGTAGTTCTTGTAGATACCTTTTATGAGAATAACAGCTGCTTTAGAAATGAGAAATTTTTATGGCCAACTCTGGTTTGAGTTCTGGATCTAGTGACTTGAAAGTCATGCCTGGTGCATGTTTGTACATGCCCAAAATTTCCAGAGGAAATGGGAGAAGGGACTGCAGTGTGGCCAACCCCACCACCCTGCAGGTGATTTCTCACTTTCTGTCTCTCTGTCTCTCTGGCAAGAGCATGGACCCTGTAGCAAATATCTCTCTCAAAAAAAAAAAGAAAAACAAAACAAAACAAAAAAATGGGGGGACCAGCAGTTAGTGTAATGGCTATGTCGCTGGACTCCCATGTAGTTGACCACGGTTTGCGTCCCGGACCCGATGGATTAAAACTCACGCTGGGTGCATGAGCGTGCGTGCCCAAGATCCCAGGAGGAGAATGGAGAAGGGACTGTGGCATGGCCATCCCCCCTGGGGGGTGATTTTTCGTTTTCTGTTGTCCTTCTGCCCCCCTCTGCCTCGTGGGCGCACCCGCCCTATAGCAAAAACCTCTCCAAAAAAAAAAAAAAAAAAAAAAAAGAGAAATTTTTGAGGTACAGAGTAATATAGAAATGTATGCAAACAGACTTGTAACCCTTCTATTTCATGTTCTTGAATTCTAGAATAATTTTACAAATAACTTCTGGGTGTCTAAAAATGCGTTTTCATAAGATAATTATGGAGCTAACCCTAATGAAATGAAAGCTTTTTTCTAAGAAAGTATACATATGATCCTGTGTCTGGGTTGCCATCATGGTTTTTTTTTTTTTTTTTTGAGAGGTTTTCGCTGTAGGGTGCTTGCACTCACCAGAAAGACAAAGACAGAGAGACAGAAAGCGAGAAATCACTCCCCCAGTGGGAATGGCCATACCGCAATCTCGTCTCCTTTCTCCTCTCGGGATCTTGGGCACGCATGCACATGCGCCCGGCATGAGTTTAAACCACCAGGTCCGGGACTTGAATCGCAGTCAACTATATGGGAGTCCAGCAACATAGCCATTACGCTAACTGCTGGTCCCATGGGTTGCCATCATGCTTAGCTTAAGAACTTATGATGGGGGCCTGCAGGTGGCATAGTAGTTAAGGCGCCTGACTCACATGGCTGACTGTGGTTTGAGTCTGGTACCCACATGCTGGGCATGTGTGTGTGTATGCTAAAACTCCCAGGAGGAGAAGGGATTGTGGCATGGCCATCACTCCGCAGGGGTGGGGGTGATTTCTCATGCTGTTTCTGTCTCCATTGAGCGCATGTGCCCTATAGCAAAAAGAAAAAAAAAATCACTTAAAAAATAATAAAGAGGGGTCAGCAGGTAGCATGGTTCAAGTCTCAGACCTGGTGATTTGCTTTCTCACATTCTTTCTCTCTTTCTCTCTTTTTTTTTTTTCAAAGAATTATTTAATTTGATTTATTCATTCATTTATTTTAACTTGGCCAGACACACACACACACACACACACACACACACAGAGAAAGTGAGAAACAAAGCCACCAGTTCTGGGACTTGAACCATGGTCAGCCATGTGGGAGTGTCCAGTGCCTTAACCACCACGCCACCTGCTGGTCCCCATCTTTCTCTCTCTTACTCTGTCCCTCTCTGGTCAAATTAAAAATAAATAAGTAATGTTAAATAAAAATAATTCTTTAAACAAAACAGAACAAAAAATAAACGAAAGGATGATGATGTTAGATATATGTGTATTTGGCTCGCATGCACACGCACACACACTTTTTAAAGAGGATTATCTAATTCTATTATCTCTCTGGTCAAATTAAAAATAAATAAGTAATGTTAAATAAAAATAATTCTTTAAACAAAACAGAACAAAAAATAAACGAAAGGATGATGATGTTAGATATATGTGTATTTGGCTCGCATGCACACGCACACACACTTTTTAAAGAGGATTATCTAATTCTATTATTTTTTTCTTTTTCTTTTTAAAATTTATTTTATTTAACTTTATTTATTAATATTATTATTATTTTTCAGTTTGATCAGACAGAGAAATAGAGATGGAAAGTGAGAGAGCAAGCCGCCAGGTCCAGGACTTGAACAGCAGTTGGCCATGTGGGAATTCAGCACCTTTAACCACCACGTCTCTTGCTGGTCCCTCTTTTTCTTTTTAAGAATTACTTTATTTAACTTTTTATTTATTCATTTTAATTTGACCAGAGAGGGATAGAGTGAGAGTGAGAGAGAGAGAGAGAATTTGAGAAAGCAAGCTGCCATATTTTGGGCTCAAACTGCAGTCGAGCACATGGGAGTCCAGTGCCCTTAACCACCGTGCCACCTGCTGGCCCCTATTATTATTATTATTTGAAGAATTATTTTATATAACTTTATTTATTTACCTATTGTTATTTGATTAGAGAGGGATATAGCAAGAAAGAGAAAGAAAAAGAAAAAGTCAAAAGCAAGCTGCCAGATCCAGGACTTGAATTGTGGTTGGCCATGTAGGAGTCCAGTACTCCTAATCACCATGCCACCTGCTGACCCCTATTATTTATTTTTAATTTGACCGGAAAGAGACCGAAAGTGAGAAAGCAAGCCATCGGGTCCAGAATTCAAACCACTGTTGGCCATATGGGAGTCCAGCGTCCCAACCACCACACCACTTGCTAGCTCCACACACTTTTTTTTTTTTTAAAATAAGAGAGGATGTGAGGGATAGAATGAGCAAGAAAGAGAGAAGTGTTTTTGATAGAGTCTTATGCTATGTCATGATCTTCCTACCCCAGCCTTCTGTTATCTAGGACCACAGGTGCATACCATTGAACCCCACCTATTTTAGGTTGGGCCTGGATCCAAATCCTGGTCTTCCACGTGACCTTGGGCACCAAGCAATAGTACTCCCCAGCTTGTACTACTGTGGCTGGGCCAAATATATACTGTGCCTCTATATCTCTGTTTACCAAACTATGGGCTGCACAGCTATCTGTTGTATAAATGCTGATTGAAAGCAGTGTTTATGGCAGTGGTTCTGGACATCTGCTTATCAAATAGAAAGAGAAATTCCTTTTGGCTAATTTTATTTTCACAATTCACTTTCAGGGCACAGTTTGTTCCTATCTGTCAAGATCTTTTACATTTTAGGGATTAGATATCTTCATCTTAGAAAATTAAAAGTTTTAGTTACTTCTGGGACCTACAGTTGGCATAATGGCTATATCACTGGACTCCCATGTAGTCGACTGCGGTTTGAGTCCTAGACCTGGTGGCTTAAAACCTAGGCCGGGCACGTGTGTGTGCGTGCCTAAGATTTTGAGAGGAGAATGGAGGAGAAGGGATTGTGGCATGGCCATCCCCCATGGGGGGTGATTTTTCACTTTCTGTCTCTCTCTCTCTCTCTCTCTGTCTTTTTGGCGAGTGCATACATCCTATAGCAAAATGTCTCTAAAAAGTTTAGTTACTTCTTTGGAGAAACTTACAAAGTTGCCATTTTTTTTAGCCCTCTGATTCTGTGTGTGGATAGTGCAATATATTTTGTGTGTTTAAAGGTATGACATTTATTTTCCAAAAAGGAAGAGTAAGAATTTAATTTTATATATTTAAGTATTATTTATTTGTCTCAAGTCTTATTGGTTGTATTACTATTATTTATTTGTCTCAAGTCTTAGATTGGTTGGTTGTTTTCTGATCTTTTTTTTTTGGCTTTTAGATTCTCCTGGGCTCCTCCAGTTTGAAGTCTGTCCCCTATCAGAATCTCGTTTCAGTGTATCTTTCCAGCACCCAGTGAATGACTCCCTGGTGTGTGGTGAGTTTTGGGGTGGCTAACACCTCTTTCAGGGGAGCAGTTTAGTTCCTGTAACTTTTTTGAAAGTCAGAAACTGAATCTGTCCCAAATAACTCCTGTATATTTTGTCTTTCAGTGGTGATGGATGTGCAGGACTCGACACATGTGAGCTGTAAACTCTATAAAGGGCTTTCAGATGCACTTATCTGCACAGATGACTTCATTGCCAAGGTTGTTCAAAGGTAGCAGTGGCCCTTTTCCATCATAGTCTCATTAAGAGATGCATAAAGAATGTTTTTGGTGTGAGTGAATTGGAAATAAAGGAGAAGGGCACTTAGTCAATGCTTTGAGTTCACCCTTCTTTGCTTTCAGATTCAAAGTGATCTAATTGTTTTTTTTTTTTTTTCCATAACACTATGAGAATAATAGGGAGTAAGATAGGTAACCTCCTTCAGGTCTGGCATTAGGGTATCATCTTAAGGTGGGAGAGGGCTTAAATAAGATGCAGTTTTTTCCTGCCTGTTGTTCTACTTTTTAAGAGATGTAACATGTTAATTGGCAATGCGTGGAAACATACTTAAGCCAGTTGAAGCACGTAATTTTGAAATTTTTCTGAAGTGTAGGGGCTGGCAGACTATTTTGGTATATATATTGGACTGCTATTTGTTCATATCTGTGGCAGCTTTCCACCTAAGATGACATAGTTGTTGGAAAAAAAAACATATGAATTATAAAACCTAAAACAGAGGTTGAATATCCCCTATCTAACATGCCTAGAGCCAGAAGTGTTTTGGATTTTGGAATATTTGCATATATGTAGTTAGGTATCTTAGAGAAGGGACCTAAGTCTAAACATGAAATTAATTTGTTATACTATATATACACAGATTGAAAGTAATTTTATGTAATGTTTATTTAAAATTTATTTTATTTAATTAATAAATTACTTTAATTTAATCATAGGGGGACAGAGTGAGAGAAAGAGGGAAAGTGAGAAAGTAAGCTGCGATGTCTGGAACTCGAATCATGGTCAGCCATGTGGAAATCCAGCACCCTCAACCACCATGCCACCTGCCAGCCCCATTTTTATTTATTTTATTTCAGTTTTTTTAAAGGTTTTTGCCATAGGGTGTGTGTGCTCACTGGAGAGAAACAGTGAGAGGGAAAGTAAGAAATCACCCTCAGGGGAGATGGCTATGCTACAATCCCTTCTCCATTTGCCTTCTGGGATTTTGGGCACACATGCACACACGCCATGCCATAACCACTCTGCCACCTGCTGGCCCATGTAATATTTATTTTTAAAGTTTCTTTCTTTCTTTCTTTTTTAAATAATTATTTAATTTAATTAATTAATTTATTTTAATTTGACCAGAGAAGGAGAGAGAGAGAGAGAGAGAAAACAAGAAAGCAAGCCGCCAGGTCCAGGACTTGAACCATGGTCGGCCATATGGGAATTCAGCACCCTTAACGACCATGCCACCTGCTGGCCCAAAGTTTATTTCTTTTATGTGAGAGAGAGATACAAACAAGGACCCTCAACAGGGTCACACACTAGGATTCTCTCTTCAGTCTTCCCAGCCAGTCAGCATCACAGGCACATACCTTGGGCACATAGAGGTCTGCCTGACAACTGCACCCCACTATTCCATATGGGTCCAGTGTGGGTACTACCATTATTACAGCAGCTGGGTGCATACAATATTTTTAATCATTTTGTATATGAAACAAAGTTAGTGTAAATTGAGGTCAGGTATGGTATTTTCTATTTGTGGTGTCATGTTGGCACTTAAAGTTTCAGATTTTAGAGTGTTTTTGATTTCAGATTTTTGGATTATACAAGGTAAACTTACCTGATTTTACAGGGAAAAGTTTGTTGACATATCTAGAAGAAAGTGGTTTCAAACATAATTTTCTATGTATAAGTTTACCTGGAAGATTAAAAAGTGCTATGTTTAAAATAAACAAGATTTCATCCCAGCACCAACAGGATAAATGCTTTAAGCCATAAAGATTCATAAGTTGGTGGATCAAGAGACTTTTTTTCCCCTCCCAGCCATAGGGTACATGTGCTTGCTAGAGAGAGAGAAAGAAAGTGAGAAATCATCCTTTAGGGGCTATGGCCATGCCACAGTCTCTTTTCTGTTCTCCTCTCAGGATTTTGGTCAGGCATATACATGGGCCCAGTGTGATTTTCAAGATCCTGGGTTTGGGACTTGTATTGTGGTTGGCCATGTGGGATTCCAGCCCCTGAACCACCTCATTACCTGTTGCCCCTCCCCCCCTTTTTTTTCTTTTCTTTTTTTCTTAAAGACTTACTTATTTAATTTTATTCGATACTTATTTTGGAGAGGTTTTTGCTATAGGGTGCATGCGCTCACCATAAAGACACAGAGTGACAGAAAGCGAGAAATCACCCCTGGGGGCATGGCTATGCTGCAATCCCTTCTCCATTCTCCTCTTGGGATCTTGGACACGCATACACATGTGCCCGGTGTGAGTTTAAACCACTGGGTCTGGAACTCGAACTGTGGTCGGCTACATGGGAGGCAAGCAACATAGCCAATACGCCAACTGCTGGGCCCTGTTATTATTATTTTTAACTTGACCAGAGAGAGAGAGAATGAGAAAGGGAAAGTGAGAAAGCAGGCTGCCACGTCCAGGACTTGAATCACTGTCAGCCATGTAGGTGTCCAACCCCTTTACCTGCCACGCCACTTGCTGCCCCCTCTTTCTTTCTTTCTTTCTTTTTTTTTTTTTTTGTTTTTTTGAGAGGTTTTTGCTATAGGGTGCATGTGCTCACCAGAAAGACAGAGAGACAGGAATTGAGAAATCATCCCCTTGGGGGGATGGCCACGCCACAGTCCCTTCTCTTTCATTCTTCTCTCAGGATCTTGGGCACGCATGCACATGTACCCGGAGTGAGTTTAAGCCACCAGGTCTAGGACTCAATCCGTGGTCGACTATGTACGTACGTGGGAGTCCAGCGATATTGCCATTAAGCCAACTGCTGTTCCTGCCCCTCAACCTTCTTAAAGAAGTTGGTTGTTTGGCTTTTGCTATAGGATATATATATCTATATATCTATATATATATATAGATATATAGATATATATATATATATCCATGTATGTATGCCAGAGAGAGATAGAAAAAGAGAGAGGGGGAAGGTGAGAACATGTCTTCCAGGGGAGATGGCCACACAGCAATCCCTTCTGCTTAATTCTCCTCTTGGGGTGTAGGCACATGTGCATATGTACCCAGCGTGTTTTTCAAGCCACCGAGTCCAGGACTTGAAATGCACAGTCATCCATGTGGGATCCAGATGCCTTTTGTGCCACTTGCTGGTCCAAGAGATTTTTCTAATGGCATATTAGGTAAAATAAAGCATATGTCCCATTAATTTCCATGGGAAGCTGTAAAACAGAAGCATTTTCTGAGTTCCATTCAATCTAATTATCTGGACTCATGTCTATGGTTTATTTTTGGTGTGTGTTTCATAAGAGGTTGATGATTGTTTACTGTGTCAAATTCTCTTTAGAATGAATTTACCCAAATTTATGGAATATGAAAGAACTATTCTTGTCTTAGATTATTTGCCCTATCTGAAAACTGCTTATTGTAAACCTCTGATACCGTATCTAAATCTCAGACATAATTAAGGCCTGTTTCCTAAATGAAAAATTGGTTTTATTCAGCAGCTAGTGCTATATTAATTTAGTGTTCTTCATCTTATCTTACAGATGTATGTCCATCCCTGTGACGATGAGGGCTATTCGGAGGAAAGCTGAAACCATTCAGGCCGACACCCCAGCACTGTCCCTCATTGCAGAGACAGTTGAAGATATGGTGAAAAAGAACCTGCCCCCGGCTAGCAGCCCAGGGTATGGCATGACCACAGGCAACAACCCAATGAGTGGTACCACTACACCAACCAACACCTATCCGGGGGGTCCCATTACCACCTTGTTTAATATGAGCATGAGCATCAAAGATCGGCATGAGTCGGTGGGCCATGGGGAGGACTTCAGCAAGGTGTCTCAGAACCCAATTCTTACCAGTTTGTTGCAAATCACAGGGAACGGGGGGTCTACCATTGGCTCGAGTCCGACCCCTCCTCATCATACGCCGCCACCTGTCTCTTCGATGGCCGGCAACACCAAGAACCACCCGATGCTCATGAACCTTCTTAAAGATAATCCTGCCCAGGATTTCTCAACCCTTTATGGAAGCAGCCCTTTAGAAAGGCAGAACTCCTCTTCTGGCTCACCCCGGATGGAAATGTGTTCGGGGAGCAACAAGACCAAGAAAAAAAAGTCATCAAGATTACCACCTGACAAACCCAAGCACCAGACTGAAGATGACTTTCAGAGGGAGCTATTTTCAATGGATGTTGACTCACAGAACCCTATCTTTGATGTCAACATGACAGCAGACACGCTGGATACACCACATATTACTCCAGCTCCAAGCCAGTGTAGTACTCCCCCAACTACTTACCCACAACCAGTACCTCACCCCCAACCCAGTATTCAAAGGATGGTCCGACTATCCAGTTCAGACAGCATTGGCCCAGATGTAACTGATATTCTTTCAGACATTGCAGAAGAAGCCTCTAAGCTTCCCAGCACTAGTGATGATTGCCCACCCATTGGCACTCCTGTTCGAGATTCTTCAAGCTCTGGGCATTCTCAGAGTGCTCTCTTTGACTCTGATGTTTTTCAAACTAATAATAATGAGAATCCATACACTGATCCAGCTGACCTTATTGCAGATGCTGCTGGAAGCCCCAGTAGTGACTCTCCTACCAATCATTTTTTTCCTGATGGAGTAGATTTCAATCCTGATTTATTGAACAGCCAGAGCCAGAGTGGTTTTGGAGAAGAATATTTTGATGAAAGCAGCCAAAGTGGAGATAATGATGATTTCAAAGGATTTGCATCTCAGGCACTAAATACTTTGGGGGTGCCAATGCTTGGAAGTGATAATGGGGAAACCAAGTTTAAGGGCAATAGCCAAGCTGACACAGTTGATTTCAGTATTATATCAGTAACTGGTAAGGCTCTGGGTCCTGCAGATCTCATGGAGCATCACAGTGGTAGTCAGAGTCCTTTATTGACCACTGGGGACTTAGGGAA